GCTGGTACGATACAGTACATTGTTGTCAGTTGCTTTTGGCAACAATCGTTTGCTTTACGATCTCACAAAAGTATATGGCATTTTATGCGAAATGTTTGCCGGGGCACTGTAAAAGCGCCAGACTCAAGACCGCTGGGATCGGGCATTATAGTTGCACACCCACGCACGCACACATTCAAAACGTGCTGCTTTAAAATTAAACTTACATTTTTAATGTGCCGACTGCCATGAAGTCATGCTTCCATGCTGAACTCCCACACACACAGCAGCTTTATGATTTCAACTTTAATGACACTGACATTTGGCCTGGTAAGAGGGTGGGGAGGGGACGGCACTAGTTGAGTCAGCTTGGAATATATAGTTAAAGTCATTGCTTGTGGAAATAAGTCCAATCATGTCGCAGCATTTCAAGCAAATGACAACAATAGAATGTCAAATAAGTCATATTTTTTATAGCAGCTCCCACTGTCACACACACACACACACGAAGCAGTTTGCGACATTGAATTGTTATATTTATGGTCCATGAGAAGTTGCTAGGAATTTAAAGGAACTATGTCAGCTCGTTCGGCTTTAGTTGCTCTCAAAGAAATAAGCTGGAAATAGCAAAAAGAGAATCAAGAGACAAATATGTTCAGTTATTTTGATTAAGAAGTCAAACTTTGAGCTAGCTAAGCGACATAGTATTCATTGAGATCTTTCTTAGCACGAGTTAAGGCTGCCTGAACATAACTGCTGAAGTCTGATGTTTGCCGTTTGTCTACTGGTATTAAGTCTTCAAATCTTTCTGATTGCTGGCAGACACACATGACAGCCCAACTAATTCGTTTAACAATCATTGCTCGTTGGATAAAATATAATTAAATATTACTCATACGCCGCATAGTCGTCGAAATATATCACACGGGCGACTCGAATTGCAGATACAGCTGCTGTGTGCGCTCTCTTCAGCTTAGATTGCCGCAAGCGTGATTGAGCTGCGGCATTCCGTGGCGCCAAATCACGTTGCAATTGCCACGAGACGATGACGGCAACGACGACGACGACACTCATTAGAGCAAAGCGTGATGCGTGACACCAACTTTAAATTGTCCAAAGATTCGCCCTAATCCCCTGCACCTCGCAACCGCTGGTGGTATTCCAGCTGGTCCATCTATCTTCTGGCTGCACACTGCAGCGTAATCTTGGCCATTACTCAAAAAGTAGCCGGGCACGTAATGGGCCACAACAAAAAAAAATATATAAAAAAATGACTGAAATTGAGGCAATGTTAACGAGAGAGGGGTCGGCAAGAGCTGGAACTAGAGCTGCTGGCCCGGCTGGCTGGCCACCTACTCATCCCACAAGTGAAACTGCTGCAACCGCTGTTACTGCCGCTGCCGGTGATATTGCTGCCGCTGACATTTGTAGTCTGTTTGTGTTTGTGCTGCGTCCTTGGTCCACTGTGGCTGGGACAGCCGAAGCGACAGCCACAGCACAGTTGGCGTCGCCAACACCAGCGCCGCGATTGCGTTGGCCTTTGAAATCACAAGCGTTTGTTTTTGGTTTGCTTTCTTTTCCTTTTTCCATTTGGGCTGGGTGTTGCCTCCATGCGCCGCCCTCTGATGGCTTTGTTATGCTAATTTCTTGACGCCTTCTGGCCATTGAAGTCGCCTCGGTGTCTCCTCTCTGTCCCTGCCATGCTTGTTATTGCTTGTGTTGTTGCAGGCTTTGATATCGTTGTTTTTTCTTATTTTGGGTATTTTTTATTTTTAATGTAACAATTTTTGGTGGCCCTTGACGCTAATTTAATTATATTTTGTTTTTTTTTTTTGTACCCACTGCAATTTTTGTATAGGGTCTCCTCTAATTCGCAAACTTTCGCTTTATTTAATGTTTTTTTTTTTTATAATAAATAAATAAATTTTTATATTAGTTTTTTATCCTTTAGCTGGAGAGTTTTAGCTGATATTATTTATACAACATTTCTAATAGAATCTTAAAAAATCCTTTGCATTAAATAAATAATAAAATATAATTATTTTTATACCAAACGAGGTTAAACTATAAAATCATATTGTTTATTTCAAGTCAAAAAAATAATCTTTGTTTAATTATATACTTTGCTGGCCTTAATTTATTGATCTCATATAGAACACGTGGCATTTCAATGTCGAGTATGTTATGTATATGTGCGTGTGTGTTGTTTTTTCTTTAATAAAACATTTCCGCTTGGCCCTGGAATGTAAGTAGCAGAAGAGCCAAATATACAAAATACAAATGTTCGCATTTGCAACACAATTTTCCAGCAATTTCGCTGCGAGCACTCGCTCGCGTTTTCAGTTTTCTTTTTCCGCTTGCCTTGGCTCCTCCCAACTTTATTTACTGTTGTCACTTTGGCTGCCCCGACATCGTCATTTCTCTAGCGGATGAGGAAAAAAAAGTGAAATTCTTTTTCGTCTCTGCTCGCATTTCCAGCATACATGTGTGCGAGTGTGTGTGTGCATCTGTATGTGTGTGTGCCTGTCTGGGTGAAAGGACTTACCCCATAAGCCTTTTATAAGCATCGCATAAATTCTTTGTCAATTGTGGCAAATGTTAGCTGCCTCTGCCTGCCTGCTTGCCTGCCACTCAGCTAGTTTGCCAGTTTGCTCGGCAGCTCGTCATTGTCATTGTCCTGGTTCTGGTTGTGGTTCTGGTTGTGGTCTCAGCTCCTCGATAGGAGCATGTGTGTCCGCATATTCTCCTTTAGCTAAGTATTTTTTTTTGCATTTCCCTTTTGGTCTACGTGCTCTCTAATTGTGCCACGCATATCTCGCAAAGACTCCAGTTTGGTAACTAGAATTTGATTGTGTCGAGGCATGAGAGTGCATTGATTGGATTACCAATGAAGGCACCACTGACAGTGCCACTCTGACTTCTATCCATTTTGCCCATTTATGGTACAGAGGCTATGCGACATAAGCCCGAGCAGTTGGGCGGAGCTAATGTAGCTCGAAATTGCCCGAGCGGAAGTACGGAATATTGTTGGCAGATATCTGCTGATATCAAAAGCTTACAAATTAATCGTTACTCTGCCAATTGCATTCATCATCATTCAGTAACCTGTGTAAGCGGACAAATCAAAGATTATTTAATATCTACAATATCCGAATTTATACAAATTCAATTTGTATAATTCCACATTTATCTGTGCTGCTCTATGGTAAGGTTTCTTAAACCTGAAACCCTGCATGGGTTGGGCTTTAAAGGAATGGCTGTCTGAAAGCCAAACATTATTAAATTTATCCACACTCTTAGCTTAAACCTTTGCTTTATTTATTCTCTTTTGTTGTCTCCGAGCACATGTTTTCCCTCAATTCCCTTTGCACTTGCTGTGCTCGTGTAGCAGCTTTTTATATTATATTGTTTAATAAATTTTCTTGTAAATTCTCTGGTGCCCCAAACTAATCATCTCAGCCCGCCTTTGACATTCCATGCTGGCCACTTTCAGGTTTATGTTGCCAACGTCAACTCCCTTGCAAAGCTGCATTCCCCGGACGGCACTCGGAGTATTGGCTTGGTGACTTAAAGTGCTCCATGCCGCAACTCCTCACTTACGCGAATGCAAAATATTCCCCAACACACACATGCACACACAAACACACACAATTATAACATAACTCAAGCGGGAAGCATATTGACAGGCCAAGGGAAACCCACTTCGGGCTTCTGGGTAGGGCAATCCAAGCGTTATGAGTGCTCTCCCATTCGACACGCACCTTCCGCACAATGCCGGTTCTCCCCTTTGGCTGAGTTGTGATTGTCATCACACATTATTATGCTTTATTTCCGTGCCTTCCTTTATTTTTATTAAGACTGTCGTCAAATTTACATAGAGCCAGGGCGGCGGACGACGGCTTCCCGCTGACTGCTGTCTCGGCATGTTGTCCTTCCTCAGCGGCCAGTCGGGGTGTAGGGGGTTAGGGACATGGCTTGCGACTTCTTTGCTAGTCTGCAGAAGTTGTTGTTATTGTTTTCAGGCCGTAGCTGAATTCGTGTTTTATTTTTCTGCCTTTTTTTTAAGTGTTTACAACACTTCCGGCGCATAATGGAAAACAAAAGGCTTAAAAGGATACACAAAGGATTTGAGCAATCAAGTGCGCTTTAAGAACTTTTGCCCCATCCACGATAACCGGCTACCGATAACGGTTTTTGCACCTGCCATTTACCTGGACTGGCAACGCTCCATTCTCTTTTTTCTTCGTTCCACATCTTGCCACGCCCCCAGTTTCAAAGTCATAACAATGCTGAGTTTTCAATATGCCCAGACCCACGTATGCTCCATAAAATGTGTGTGTGTGTGTGTGCTTAGCACTGGAAAAAAAGGTTGACGGCAACATAAAACTTGAAGTAGTTACGTTCAAATGTCTGCACGGTTTTAGCCAGACAACAAACAACAATAACCAGAGGCACAACAACAGCAAAAACAACAACTTAAGGGTAAGACAGCTGAGAGCTATGAAAAGCTTGGCACATTTGAGGGTCCTGGGTAAGGGGATATTTGCTGCTCTGCCTTTTATGTCGAAAGTTTTCACTTACACGCTATGCGTGAAGGGTTGAGCACATTAGATTCAATGGAGATTGTAATTATAAAACAAAAACTCTGTGAAAACATTTTAGAAATTTCTAAACATCTGTAAAATGCACAACACACAGCTACCATTTACCACTTGAGCTACATTTAAAAATGCACACATATACATTTTTTCAACATAATGAAGAAAACTTTTTTAAAAACTATTTTAAACAATGCAAACACTTTTTTATGCACTTTGCGAGCGATTTTTAACTACAAGAAATAAACCTCAATCGATAGATATCAATTGGATTTGAAAGACTTTCAAAATGTGGAATATTGTATTTATAAAATTCAGCAATAAAGTGGGGCATTCATTAAAGAATGTTGATTAAAATCGCCCACAATTTAATATTACTCACACTTTAAAGATAATTTAACGAACTCTTCTCGTTTCTGGCAGATGCTCAGTTCACGTCAGAAAGACAATCCCAGCCAGCCCTGGCAGCTATTATTGCTGCTCCTACTGGCCACATTGAGCCTGTGCCTCGCCTGTCGCGTTTCGGAATTCTCATGCAAGGGCAGTGGTAACAGTGGCAACATCTGCGTGCCACTGGACAAATACTGCGATGGACGCAGCGACTGTGCCGACGGCAGTGATGAGCCCAAGCATTGCTCTGGTGAGTGTGGCATGTGCCAACTGCAAGCAAGCAACAGCTGTTCACATACTTTCTTATATACATCCTTACGTATATCCACTTCTTTATCTGGCTGGAATACACACCAACAGTCTGCAATCGGACATACTATGGTGATATTGGACGCACCTATGCCATAAGGGTGCCAACGCCACAGTGGAATAAGTTGCCGTTCCTCTGTCACCTGACATTCACCGCGTCTGGCCATGATCAAGGCGACATCGTCCAGGTGAGTCAACATTTTGGAGGTAGGGGGTGCTAGTCAGCGGTGGCGCCGGCGCCGGCTCTAGCTCTCTAGTGTTTGTCCGGTCATAGGTCAAGGATTAGCCAGCCATGCCGGCGATATAAAACTGCATGGCACACATAACAAAATATATAGATGTGTATCTGTATATGCGGACACACAGTCGACGTGTCGTCTCCCACATAGTGTCGCAGCTTCACGCAAAAATGCACTGTAAAATATTGGGTAGACCGGAATTGAAAAACGAATGTTGATGACCACGTACGAACATGGTAGATGACATTGGGCCTGAGGCTTAATATTCTAACGTCAAGCATGTTCATAATACACATATATTTGAGAATATATATTTTAAAATCTTTAATTCCTATTTTTGACAACAAAAGAGGAATAACATGATAATTAGTGCAATGGAGTCTTATTGCTGTAATGGAAATATTAAGGTTGAATTTATATTCAAGTAATCCTCGAGTTAAGAAGTTCTCGACCTTAAATCTATGAACTTTTCTTTTATTAATTGGAGATTTATATATTTATTAGTATTTTCACTACTTATAACAGACTCATTCAGATATTCAGAAAAGAACTTTACAAGCAAATTCGTTCGTCAAAATACCAGCAAATATAATGTTGCCCCAGGATACCCCGATGCTTATTTTAGATAGAAATATTTATATTGCCTGCCGATAAGCTGATAAAAACTAACTATTTACTTAAGTTTATTATACTGCTATCCAAAGGAGAGCTAGCTCCAATACGGTCAGTGTATTCAAGATTCGCAGGCTTCTGAAATCATTTTTTCGGTGTGCGCTTTTATTTCTTTTACACCATGATGGATGTCTGCCATTTTCAGTGATCCGAGTTTATGTGCGTGCTCAATTGGGGGTATAGACCGTAGAGTTTGAGCTGTGGGCCAAAGGCGCGTAGTTAGTTATTTGGCAAAACCGGGCGCTTTTTGCTTAAAGCACAATCTTGGCTTTAAAAAGCTATGAGGCAACAGCATCAACGTTGACAATAAAATTAGACACGCTTCAAAACATTTTTGGCGAACTGTCAGAAAAACGTCAATTTCAATTTCCAAAATAATTGATTTCCATGCAATTTGCGTAACAGCGCAATGAGCAGTTAGCAGCGAGGCAAACGTTGAGCCGGGCAAATCGAGTAAAAGTTTGTGGCGCGCTGAGAGACTTGAGTTGGCCCTTCCTACGGTTGAACGGGGTGGGCCCACTTGGCAAGCCTGTAAATAGGACAGAGAAGGATGACGACAACGAACTGAATCGTTTGCTGCTAGAGTACCCAATCCTCTGCGTAATCCTGAGCATTGGCATTGCCTCTGCTTTATAAAATGATATATGCAAAATTGTTGGCTGCTTCGGCAGCTTTGCACCTTGCACCAAATCTGTCATGCATAAGTTATAACTTTTATTTTGTGTTTCCGCATTTGTGGACCACGTTGATAAACGTGGCAGATTCTGCTCGCAATGCATATAAATCATGTGCTTGGTTTTCACTTTATCCAGTTAACCCACACCATCCCTATACCCCTGCTGTGTGTAGGTGGGGTTGTGTCTACGTGGGAAATGGCTTGAAATAATAATGTTACGCGCCGGTTTAGGGGACAACATCGTCCTGGGCTTCGCAATCCGCTTGTCTGTCAGCATGTCCTGCTGTACATATTGATTGATGATTGTCGGTGTGTGTTTCCCGGCGAGAGAGCAAAAGTTTAAATTACCCTAGGTAACATCCTTCTCAATCCCTACCCAAGTCCGTATCGCTGCAACTTACCCGCGGCTAATTTTTAATGGAAATAACTTGGCCCCCAAACTGCTGGCAGGATGCGTTTTTCAATTTTTTATGCTTTAATCAAATATCCTGAAGTTGCACTCTGTAACTTGCGCCACAAGCTGCGCGCATTTTTCACACCCTTGATGGATTCAAATATTGTCGGGCGGTGGGGGGGGAGAACTTAAAGCATGTACTTGATAGAAGAAAAAAAAAAACGGTAAATGCTGTCGGCAAAATTTCTCGTATTTCTCAGTATATTTCACATTTTTAGCATGGAGCAATATTAAATTGCTAGCAATAAAAGCCATGCGAATTTTCCCAGCCACATAAATCAACAGATATTTTCATATAAAATTCACATAGCTGAATAATATTTTTATATTCCATTTCCATTTTATTTTGTTTGTTTGTCTCATTTTTTTACAGTATTTTAAATGCGCTCTTTATATTTGTTTATGCATTGGAATCGAGATTTTTTATCACTTGTTTTGTAAGCGATTTTCTCATTTAAAAGTGTTCTTTTTTTCTTGTTTTTTATAACGCAGTAAATAATTGAGTATTTTGCAAGTATTTTTCAATGTTGATTACACACAAAATGAGTAAGGGAGGTGTGATTTTTGTTTTAGTAAAAATCATTTTGCATTTATTTGATTTTTATTGAATTTTGTAATATACCGAAATATCAAATATTTAACATTTTTGCTTCGTAACATGCCATAATAGTAAATATCATTATTTTTTCATTCTCTCGTGTCTACTTTGTTCTTATTCCGTCACTCGCAAATCCACTCTCGTAAATGCCACCTTTCTATGCGAATCTCACGAACTCAAGCAAATAAGTTTTTAATGACTTCTAAATGAAGTTTACTTTAATTATAAAGATAATTGGATCTTACTCTCTGTCTATAGAATGTGGTTGTTTGCGTATGTGAATTAGGTGTTGGAAAGGAGCTTAACTTCGGAACTGGCTATAGGGTATTTTCTGGTATTTGCAATTAGAGAAAATTATGAACTTTTGGGCGCTTGCAGATAAGGCTGTGAAAGGTCTTATTTTGTATTTAAGTGCAATATACATAAAAAGATAATAATTATAGCTTCTCCTTGGACCTGTGCAGTGGCGAATGCCGACCTGTAAAATGCACAGCAATAAGCCCGTTGCAAACTTACAAGCGTTGCATGTGGCAACAAGTTTGCCACAACTTTCATTCAACATGCAAAACTCTATGAAAGAGAAACACATAAATTACTTGTCCAAGAGAGAGTTGTAGTGTCCAGGTGTTTGCCAAACTTGCAAAGTTGTCAAGTCTGCGGCGGTGGTCAGCATGATTCTAGCGAAGAAGATACTGGTAGGTGGGACCAGCACGTTCCTTCGTTGGTTTAATATTCGAAATTAAAATCGTATTTCGTTATATTTGCTGTTTGTGACTGTTTATGTGGAAGGTGTTAAAAAATGTACAAAGCTTCAGAAAGTTCAACCCTTTTTAAGAGTTTGGTTTGCAATTTGGCAAATGCCAAGCACACGCAAGCCTATTTGCATATTTTATTAAAATATATTTACATACACATGCATGTCTTATATATAGCAACAAGCACTTGACTCTTTGCCTTAGCTCTCATCTTATGTTTGTATTTCTGTTTTTCTCTCGTTTTTCTCGATGATTTCTACCCAGATACGCCCTGACCTTGCTACACTTTCGGTGTGCTCTTTGCCGCCTGCTGTGTGTTGTCTTTTTTATGGCCAATCTAATATGCAAACAGAGGCCAGTGTGGTATGGGCGTGGTTCGCAATTGAATTTCATTTGCATAACTTCAACGTACATAAAACTAAACTAACATAAAATATATCCCGAATACCCTGTGTAGATGGACTAGGAATCTTTGCTGGAAATGCTATATTTTAGCTAAAAATCCTTACAATTCTTCTAGATCTGGTATACTTATATTTTCCTTCGACTGTTGAGAGGTTCTGCAATGTTTAAAATGTTTTTTACTGAAAAGCAATATTTTTGTAAATTTATCTTTATTAAATGCCCAAAGTATTTATTGTCCTTATTTTGAAGGGCATTTTCATATCGGTTACAAACATACATAATTCTCAATCCATTCGCAGATCATATTTGATGGCTTTACGGTGGGCCGCTTCGATGAGGGCATGGTTGATACGGATGTGGATGGCTATGAAACGAATCTGAGTCCAACCGGTGAGCTGCCCGGCTGTCCCGAGGGTTTCATGCAGGTGAGTGCAAATTTAATTTATTAAAATTTGAATTGAATATTACGTAAGCGCAGCAAGTGCCGCTCCAGCTCCCTCTTCAGCCGCAGCTCCTCTCGGTCCTGTGGCCAGTCTCGTTCAAATGGATGTTGTAACTTGCACTCCATTTGCTGTTGCTATTGAACTTGTGCTCAACTATAATTTTATGCCAGCGCACACACTTACACATACACACACACGCAGGCAAGCTAACAGGAGAATTGGATGCAGTGTAGCTTCGTTCTTGGGGTTGTGCTCCTGATGCGTCGTCGTCGTCGTCGTCTGGCTCGTGCTACGAGCTTCGTCGAGCCGTTCGATTCAATCAATGTCCGAGTAATTCTGTAATTTTCTGTTGGTTCTGTTGACAAATGCCACATTAGCCCAGCAAATTGAATTGAATTGTGCGCCTGACTGTGCATCTGGGTGTATGTGTGTGTGTGCTTGTGCTTTATACCATTGCTGTGTTCATGTCCTGTTCTGTCCGCAGCTTGAAGTTCGAGTGCTGTTCACTGTTGTTGCTGTCGCCATCGGCGAGAGGGGGCAGAAAATAAAGGAACAGCAAACTATTTAACATGCATATATATTTTTATCACAACTTTTGCGGCTCCATGTTGTTGACATTGCTACTTTGTCGAGACATTCGGCTCTGTTCCCCGCCCTAGTCTCAGTAAATGGAAAGCGGAGAGGGGGTTAAAATAAAACTAAAGCCCGGGCCAAATAAAATATACCAAATCCCCGTAATTGACTTGTGCAATATGTTCAAATGTACATTTGTACATTGGTATATACTTGTGCAATAAACCCCTATACCATACAAAACAGTGTGTAATTGTGTGCGTGTGTGTGTGTATCTGTGTATACTTTTATAATCTGATGCTGTTGCATTACATTAAATGGAGTTTTGCTGCCATTTGAGGGGGCATACTCATTGGTTGGATACAGTTGGGTGTGCATTCGTGTAGCCCGCTTCGATATACACATACATATTAATAAATATAGATGTATGGCGTTCGCTTTGCATGCTCTTTTCGTTACCTCTCATTTATTTTTGTAGCTTAAGTTGTGCAAACAGCGGGCTCAGGTGGCGCCACGGACAAATGAAACAATTTGGGCAAAAGGGCAAAGTATTGAATTGCAGAGCAAAGCGTTTTTCAATTTTGGGGCAAAAGATCACACAAAGGAGAGCTGCTTTCAAGTAATACCTTAGGTATAATAACTTTCTGGCGAACCTAGCAAATTTAATACGCTACACAGACGAGTTTTAGTACTAAACGAATTTCCGATTTCCTTGGATATGAATAAAAACATTTTACATGCTCTCTTTAAAAGGAAGTAATTATTTACATTTTTGCTGAGCTGCTTTTCCTCTAAGCTATGTATTATTTTTGTTTAAATAACAAAACAAGACGCAAGCCTGTTGACTTAAATGGATAACAAAGTAATTTTAACATATTTTTTGCTCGTCTTTTTCAAGCGAACAAGTATTTTTCGACACAATTCATAAAGGTTTCCCTTTTATTTAGTTGATGTTATCTTTAATAGCTCCGCTTCCGTATTTGTATTCTTTTTTGCCATGTAAATATGTGTATTGTTTGATTTTTATTGCTTTTATTGAGCTCTCCAATTGAAAGTGAACTCTGCCAGCCTTTACTCCACGGACTTTCTGTTCCCCAAAGCCGAGAGTCCTTTATTAGTTTAGCGCCGGCGAGTGATGCTGCAGTTTTTGCTGCCTGCCACGCCTGCCGGTTGCCTTTGTGACAATAAATTTTGAAGAAACGTGGGGCGTGCGCTGACATTTTGTGGTGCTGTCCAACTCATCCAGATGGGCCAGCTTCTGTCCAGCCTGTTGTCTGCTGGACCGTACGCCCGCCCGTTCGTCGTCCCGCCTGTCTCTCTCGGTTTGCTCGTCTGTTGAGGTTTCATTTGGCACTTGACATATGTATGTGCGGAAAACTGCGACTGGAATAGAAATGGGTTGGGTTTTCGAGGAATGGTTACGTTCAACTGATGGAAACTGGGCGTTTTTGCATGCAAGTTTGGGTTTTAAAATGCAGTTAAATATTTGCAATTTTTTCCGCATATACGCGAACCCTGTTGCAGTTTTATAAACTCGTAACTAACCGCAGGTTTTTGTTGTCATTCTCCTGTTTCGTTCCGGGGTTTATCGTAGCTGCCGCGCTCTGGCGCCTGTTTTTATTTATTTAAGGCAAACATTTTTAACTGCTGACGCGGTTTCAGTTTTTTATGCCCAGTTATTTTTTCAGTTTTTTCGTTTGGTTTCCTTTATAAATTATTCGTGTCATGGCCCGGCCACATAAATTCTTGACCGTCTCATATTTATACCAATCTACCTATGTGATTTCTGTAATACATATATATATATATATCTATATATATATATCTAAAAGTGGCACACAGCCGCACAAAGTTTAGCACAGCGCGTGTGTGTGAGAGAGCTGGAGCTGCCAAGTAACAGTTTAATCAGTTATTCAATTTAGTTAGACAGTTTGCCTCATGCATATTGCAAGAGGCAGTGCCCTTAGTGCGACCTTTTCTCTGGATTATTTTGAATAATTTATCAGCACTTTTTGCAACATCACCAGCTTTAAACTTGACCAACTGGCGGTGGCCACGTTGCTGCTGCATTGTTTATTTGCTAATATTGTTAATCATAAATAACAAAGTTTATGCATAAACGTATTAACCTAAATCAACAACAACAACAAGAACAACAATGGCCACAGCAAGCAGAGCAACAAGAAGACACGGGCTGCTATCCAGCCATGTTGTCCTTTGCCCAGGCCAGGACAGCTTGAGTAAATGACTCAATATTTGACAATCATAACATCCGCTTAGTCTTCATGGTGTGTCCTGGGTCCAGAGTCCTGCTGCTTGGCAAAGACAACAGCAAAAGTAACAGCAACAGCAACAAAAACAACATGCCAGTTTGTCAATGGCAGTTTAAGCTCTTCTATCTATAAATATGTATGCGCGTATATACCGTCTATGCGAGTAGTTGGCTGTGTGTGTGTGTGTGTGCCATAGACAAGCTCATAATTCAACTGGACAAACTTCTTGGACATGCTTTTCACTGCTGCCCCAGCGGCATTTGTTTGTGTCGTAAATTTACGAGTCATAGCCGAAAAATACAAAAAAATCGCAAAAGGTTTGCAAGTTTTTCTGTGTCTTATACCCTGTAAAATGAATAAGCTTAAACGGATATATCTCATTTAGCAAACGTTTAACAAAGTGATGGCAGGATTCATATCATGATTTAATGAACAAAATTGTCAAGAGCTGGCAAAACTATAGAAATGATACAACAATTATATAAGCCCTGTTGACTTGGCCGGTTGCAGAGTATCTTCAAGTGAGCCTTCAAGTGCACAGCTCTTGTTTCATTTTATTTTATTTTATATATATATTATTTATTTATTCAGAAGCGCATTGAATTGCAAATGAAAAGCTTCGGCTTGGTCCATAATTTATATTTAATGATTTTTTAATAGCAGCGACGTAAAAAACTGTGGCAAATGTTTTAAATTACAGTAAATCAAACAGAAGTTCAGACAGTTTGCAAGTTGTGTGTGCTTGTGTGTGTGGTTGTGTGTGCGTGTGGGTGAATTACAGTGGAGCGAATGTGTCATTATGCGCTTAAATTGTTTCACAATTAAACCTGCAATACATGCGAACACATAGCGAACGGGTGGAGAACGAGAAAGAACGGGGCACAGGATGCATCCATTGAAAGCATCTCTGTTTGGGGCTTTTGTTTATTGTCGGCAGATTATGAAGCGACGACGTCGACACCCAACAACTGTGCAGATAAAACTTTTTATCGGCTATTGTTTAAATTATGCGGCTCTGCCGCTGGCTGCTGGCTGCTGACGCGAGTTGGCGAACAATGACAGGTAGTATAATGTTGTGCCATCAGACTGAATTGAGCCAAGTTTAATCAGCTAAAGGTTGATTGTGTACAACGCTTTCACAACTAACATCAATGCATTGGGCGAAAGAAATTACAAAATGGATTTTTTTAGCCAACAGAAAGTTGAATAGTATAAAAGCCAGAGCAATAATTTTTTTAATTGATTTTAACACAAGTAAACGTATCTTTATATAAGAAGTACGTGCTTGGTATAAATTGATTATAGTTCTTTCACGAATTGCTGATAGATAATTAATCACATGCTTCTTTAAACACGATTCATGAGCTCAAATGAATTTACATACTTTGTTTAATATATATTTTAAATTTATGCAAGTTTTTTCGTTCAGCACACGTTAAATTCACCAATTTTCTTTCATATTCGAAAGTTAAACATGCCAGAAAAGTTTCAATAACGCATGTGAACAGCATTGGGTCAACATAAAAAAAACTTGAAAGGTCAACCTGTACGCAAAGTCAACAGCTCGTGTCCAATAGCTTGCCACATTTATGCCTGCGACGCCAGCTCCTCCCGCTGACCACAATAATAATTCAATCAATTTAAAACCAACACCTAATCAAACAAAACGCCACAAGCCAAAAAAAAAATCGATAAAGGGGAAAAATGAAAAACGAAATGCTAAGCAAACCAAGTTGAGATACGAGCGACAAAACCAAAATTCCAATAATTCGTTATGAAGTCGATGCTAATAACGCTTCACTGCACACAATGGATTCAACGATGTTGATGATAATAGCCATGCTAATGATGATGATGATGATGATAATGATGGGAAGGATAGAGTCCAGCCAGTGCTAAGGGGCAAACAACAAAAACAGGCAGAAAGAGAGAGAGAGAGAGAGAGAGAGAGAGAGAGAGAGAGAGAGAGAGAGAGAGAGAGAGAGAGAGAGAGAGAGAGAGAGAGAGAGAGAGAGAGAGAGAGAGAGAGAGAGAGGAGCGAAGGAGAGGCCACACAGTTTGCAATGAATTTACACAAAATCGAAATCAGAAAATTACCATTATGCCGGGCAGTCGGGCCTGTTGGCGGATGCCTGCTGCAGCTTCTACTGCTTCTACTCCTGCTCCTGCTGTTGCTGCTGAAGCCCGTTTCATATGACAGCAGTGAATTGCAACTCTAACCAGTTACAAATATTGGCCAGAGCTCTGGAATGAACGACATAGATGGGGACTTGCAATTACAGCAAAAATTGTTGTTTGAGTTAGGGCATGGCAAAATGATGGCAGAAGGAGTAGAAGCAATGGCAGCAGCAACCGCAGCACATTCCCAGCTGCAGTGCTGGCCAGTGGCAGGCACATAGACCTGTCCGGTCAAATAACCCATTAACTAAAAACTTAATCAATTGGAACCCCAGCCCCCTCCTCCACCATTCATAAGCATTGCCAATTGAGCAGCTATAGGCACTGTGTAAATGAGCTGCATGATGCCTGCTGCCTTCTGCTTGCTATTGGCCTAACGGGCACACTGACCCACGGACCACTGGGGAAAAAAAACCGGGTTGCCATTACCTATTGACGATGTGGTTAGCCATTCTTGGCTGCTATTAGCGACATTACGGCAATGCCTATGAATGTCAATTGCTAGGTCTGCTTATTTTTCTTTTGTATACCCCATGCAGAGGCAGCACTCAATTGGGGTATATTGTTTAAACATTAGTTCCGTAGTGTAACTTTTCATACCATAAAAAACTAACAAATAGTTAGATTGCTTTTAAGTAAGTCAAGAGACTGGCTGGCTAGCAACAGAGAACGTACTCTTAAAGCGTTTCATATTAATTTTTAATAAAGTGAAATATTAAATACAAAGACCAAATGAGTTCAGATCAGTTCATGGTATAAAGAGAGACTCTGCCTGCTTCTAATAAATGCCTGCTATTCAATGCTAATCATTTGCAAAACTCATTATATTTCTCCTTTGATAAACGTTAAGGTGCGTTTACCGCATTATTAAATTTAGAAAAATAAGGAGTTTTAAATTTTAATCAGTTTCTACAAAAAATCGCAAGATATTTAGCTCTGTTATTAATGAGAGCTTCATTCATTTATTTATATATTCAGTAGATCAAGTCAATCATGCGATCTATCTGAAATTGATTGCAACACTCAAGCACATGCTTATAAAAATATATTTTTATAAATAATTTATTGACTTAATAGACTAATGGTTTTGATCTATTCATATGAATCAATGGAATAACACTTTTGGTTAGGATCTATTCATATGCATTTGTTTCTGGTTTAGTGTTCAGTGCAGTGGGACATTCAAGTTGGCTGCTGTTTTAGTTTGCTGCACCTTTGGCAATTGCCAACAGTTTTTAACACAAGTTGAAATTGGCGATTGGCCCACAAATGTATGCTACACTTTTTGCAGCGTCCATTCTTCTAGCTGCCAGCTGCAGTGGCCGTTGCGAAAGGAAAACAATCAAATATTGAGCGCACAAGCCGGCAAATGGCGCCAACAAATAAAAATTTATACAACAGTCATAATCCATTACCCATGCCAGCAACCTGGTCTGGTCTGGATTGGCCTGGGCTGGGCAGGTTATAGTTGAAATTGGATGGGATTGGCATACGGTCTGGGATTCGGTTCGCGATGGATTGCAGCTTCCGTGCATTTATTTATTTTTCACTTGCTCGCCAAACATTTATGCATGTATACATATATACATATATATTAATCGGTATCCCTTAATAAAACCGATGTAAAAAATTGAGTGCAACTTAACCCACATTTGCATGCGTGAGCTTTAAAATGTGTCAAAAAAAAAAAAAAAAAAAACAACAACAACAAAAAAATACTGTTGGTGAATTGCCTTAACAACATTCTGCGCGAAATAAGCTTGATTTTTAATTAATTAAATTTTATTTATTTACTTGGCAGCTCAGCGAACTGGGGCGACCATTCACGGGCGGCTCCTGGTGCGGCAAGGCCACCGGACCGCAATTATACTTCAGCGAAACATCCACGGTGACAGCTTCAGTGAAGGTGAGTGAAGGACATTCTCCAGGCAAACATGTGAGAGTAGATTTCACTTATTGCAAACATTCAGTTGATTTTTTTCTTTGCTTGGCTTAATGTGCCATAATATTGAAATAGCCATCTCTTTAAAGTATGCAACATGTATAAGCGAAACAAATAGAGTTCTTTTTAAATAAGAAATCAATAATTTAAATGAAAATTTAGTTAAAATAGCACAATTAAAGTGAGCGTATGCAGAATTCGGTCAATCGACATACACTTGTTTCCTGTTTTTAATTTTAAATTGAACAACTTTTGCGGATACGCGACGTATGCGTAATGTTTACTTGAGCAGCCATTGCCACTTTTTGATTAATATTTAAATAAACGTGCGACCATAAAAGCAAATGGATAAGAACTCTGGACAGGTTGCAGAGTTCGCAGGCGCATAAATTATGAAAATTAATAAAAATTCATGCGCCAATCGGATACCCGCTTGACCGCCAGCCTGCACTCTGAGAGTGCAACAAAATGCTTCAAGTGACGATGAGTTGACGTGGTCGGCGGCGCAGATTGCAGATTGCATAATTAAAAGAAAATTGCGTGTGCAAATGACAATTTTTCAGAATACGGCACAGGCAAGTTTCCACCCAAGTCCTTGCCAGACTGAATTGCAAGAGTTCGCCTGATCGTTCTTTGTCTTGGCAGCTGTCGCTCACTTTTCGACAAATAAATATTTCAATGCATCCCACCCCCTCTGTCCGCCTATGTGGGTGTGTGTCAATGTCCTTGTGTATTGCCACATACAATCGAGCAGCTGATTGACAGCGCACCATTTTCTGTTCCATTCGGCAACGTTTCCCTCGCATCTATCTATATACTTTTATTTGCTCAGTCTATTTTCAGCTCATTTCAGCAAGCGAAGTTATTGCATTGTAAGATTTTTACAAAATAAGTGCATTTTTTGGGTAGCCTTTTTAAATTTTCCTCTTTCTTTCTTTTTTGCCAATTTTGCAGGTATTTCATCCGCCACGCAATATACGGGACGACAAACCCTTTGAGTTCAGCATAAGATACAAATTTATAAGCCAGTCCGATGCAGTTGTGAGGTAAGTTGCTATGAGTAAAAAAATAGTGTTACTAACTTGCATCCAACATGAAATGTTGGGAGCAATTCAGAAATCCAGAAATAAAACGTTGACTCTAGCTAAAAATTTGATTTTATGGCTTTACACTTTTACGATTCATATTTCTTTGTACACTTTTCTTAAGGGAATAAACAACAAAAATTGAAAATATTTTTCATGGTACATAAAAAAATTTGTATTATCCTATTTGTCACATTTTGAACAATAGCTTTGGCTTCTGTTAGACTTGATTATTTTTTAGAAACGCGACGTTTGCTATTTGCACAAGAATAATTTAATATCAACAAGAAAGCAAATATGATTTTCTGTGCAACTTTAATAGCTGTTGCTCGCAACTTCAATCGAAACATTACAATCATAATATTTTTAGTTTGGAATGCCATTAGCTTTTGCTTTCGCCTCATATAGTATTCCGTCTAAAAGTAATCACCAAATTTAGTGTAGGCGCCCAGCAGCTTTCAGAGCTGTAATTTATCATTTAAGCTACGGGAGGGCGAAGTGCGGGGGTGACCTTTAAAAGTGAGGACAGCTCGGCAAGTTAATGTCGTCAGACTGCTGTGGCGCCTGACAGTTTGGCCTTTGTTTTAACGCGCTGCCAGCTCCGGCAGCTGAGCCGCCGTTCTCGAGCTAAATCCTAGTACATGCTCGAACAATGCCAGCTTTGTTGGAGTGCTGCATAAAACATGAGCAGCAGCTCCTTGCCGGGATACGTGGCACGCCAAATACACGGTTCAAGCTGCAATCCATTTGTGCCTAGACGTGTGTCAAATTTCGTGCATGTGTCGCATTCTTTGTTTGCGCCAGTTGCCAGTTGCCGGTTGTGCCGGATATGGCAATAGTCATATAAATTGAAATGTATTTTTACACCTCAACAAATTTCACACAATTCACACGGCAAAATAATATTTACGAGTAGAGATGCATTCGCAAATGCAGTTGGAGACCCAATTCAATGCTTGTTGGTGTCCGGCATACGGACCATTAGCAAACCAAACAATGGCCAAACATTGGGCCAAATGAGGATTTAAAACCCAAAATGCCAGGGTGCATTTTATGCAAATTGCAGACAGGCTGAAAGCCCCAAATACCCAAATACCAAACAAATATACTGCTCAGTAGAGGAGGCAGCCAAACTAAATTAAATGCTAAACTTACACATTCAACAACACTTGGCGCACCCACATCCACACTTGCCTATGTAAAAACATATATATGTATACTAATGGTATGTGGGCTTACATTACAGGTATGGACTGCCCGATAAGCCATTGGAATTGGGACGTGTCACACCCGGCACCTATTGTACAAGGCAATTCGATGAATGCTATCGTAACAAGTGTCGCCTGCAAAGTCCAAATTATCCTGGTATGTATCCAAGGAATGTTACCTGCTATTGGACCATACGACAGAAAGAAGTTCCAACCAGCAAGCATGCCATGATTGCCGTCAGCCAGGAGAATCAGCACAAAGCCCTAGTAAAGCGGTAAGTAAAATACTGGGAAGAGGGCTTAGAATAGGGCAGTGGGGGTAAGTTTTGTTCGTTCTATTGAAATACCAAATTCTATGCAACGTGCATGGAGCACATTAAATAAGCATTAGCAATTTGTGGAGCCAGAAGACCATGTCGCATTTGTATGACAAATTTCAATTTGGCAAATTGCAATCCGACTTGCAGTCCGCAGTCCCGTTGTCCGCATCCATTTCACACTTGTGAACCCAATAAGCGGCCAATGGGCTAGATCAGACAAAAGTTGAGCACAATGTTGTATTTTGTATATTCCAATTAAATGTTTGCATATCAAATTAGATAGAAACAGACAGGGAGGCGCTCAAACCGAATGACAGCTATCCGAATGGCTATAATTCAATCCCATTTTACAAGGAAGCGTATATAGTAAATGTCGCGATTGTTGTACACTTTTTTAATGCAGGTAAATGAACTAAATAAGTAAAAAAAAAAATGCGTTTACAGAAAAATATTTTTGTAGTTCTCTAGGCCATAAAGCCACAATTTTTTAGAGAGTGAGACAGAGAGAGAGAGCGTAATTCTGTCCAGAATTTCTATAGCAATCGAATATATATCTTTTTTTACTCAATAGACATACTTATGGCTTTATGCATATTCGCATAAAAGAGCATTGAAATGTCGAGTTAGATTGCATCAATTTGGGCTTTGCGGATTATTAACTTTGACAGTGTCTCCAATGTGCCACGCATTGACAGCAGTTGGCAGTTGTTTTTCAGGATTTTCGAAATTAAAATGTTTGCCTTGCATTTAGCGCTGATTGCAATTTACATTTTTTTTGCATGTTGTTTGACAGCTAAAAATAAAACCCACTGTGGTTCGATAAACAATTTTTTTGCTATCATTTTTTTTTCTACTACTAACTTTAATCTTTGTCACATTTGCAGCTCTATTGCCAGCTTTAATAAGACCTCACGCTCGATTCGTGCCTGGTCTGATTGTACTGGAGAGCGCGATCATTTAATCTTTTACGATGGCAGCTCCACAAATGATCCCGTCCTGGCCAAATATTGTGGCGGCGATTGGTTGCCTCGTGTCGTCTCACGGTGAGTTGAATGCATGAAATCATAGCATACCTTTCAGCTTATGTGCTACAGTTGTGCCGTACTGTATCGCAATGTGACTTCAAGCGCTTGTCAGGCATTTATTTAACGCCATTTCTCTTTTATGAAAAAGTTAAATATGAGCCGAGCACAACTCATAATACATTTACAAGCCCAGTCAGACATACAAACTGACAGAGCGCCATTTTAATGAGCGTGTGTTATGTGTTTGTCTGTGGCTGTGTGTGCGTGTGTGTGTGTGTGTAAGACCGCAGTTCTAGTGCACTGCACTGCAGTTGGCCTGGGGCGCATGTGTTCCAATTCAGTTACACATAGATACACTCTCTCACACACACACACACACACAAAAACACACAGACACATAGACACTGTTTATGGGGCTTTGTGTGTGCCTTGCAATTGTGCGCAATGCTTAAGAAAAACCGGAAATTGGGTTGCTCTGCAGACAGACAAAGCAACCAACAGACAGACTTAAATAGAGACTCACACACACACACACACACACACACACACACACACACTAACCCACACTAGATAGACACACACACACACATATACACATGAAACATAAATAGATTTATGTGTGCGCCATTTGCAACTTTTTGCTTGACTATACAAAATGCACGCCTATTGAAAACATTTTGATGCATGTGATTTATGCAATGGAAATATCTATGCTCATTAGGTGCCAAGTTCTTTAGAGAAGTGCCACTACAAATTCTTAAAGTGCAAGCTTAATCATTGCAGGTACTTGTATTAAAAGTAGTTGTAGCATCATTTTGTAAAAAGTTTTTTTCTTAGTATTATTATTATTTTAACGTAATTAAATTCAATAATTTCTTTATTTATTTTTAAAAATGATCATTAAATTTCAAACTAAAGTCGTGGAATTTTTATACATTAAAACCTATTGGCTGGCTTTGGCGACCTTTCCATTTTGCACATTTTAAAACCAAAACTTATAAATTATAACTTGGGCAGTTGCAAAATTCTATTCCTAAACTTACTCCCGATTTTTTCAATGTGAAGAGCAACTGAAACAAAGAAATTTAAAATTAAAAATGAATTAAAATTGAACTAGTGTCTTCTTATATACAACAATTAATTAATTATAAATTTCTATACTGTATTTGCTTCCAATCAGGGTTTTGCCCTAATTCAACAGTTTCCATGTCATCCCATGCTTACCTTCTTTCTGGTTCGTGGGCTCAGTTTTACTGGTTCGCTTTGAAGACACTTAGAATCAGGCTATAAATTATTAAAGCAGAAATGCCCGCATGAAAAGGACCTCGAAAATGGCTCAAGTGCAAACTGCGAGAACAGGCCACACCTCCACATGGCATTTAAGTGGACGACGTCCCCCGTGCAGCCCTTCGGCCATTTATCTCGCACTTCACATTCTGTTTTTGTTGTTATTTGGCTGGGCAAAGTTTGCGCTTTTCGCTGACTCTTGAGACATGCACATCAACTTTGATTGTTGTTGGAATATTTGTTGTTGTTCTTTTTTTTTTGTAGCTTATTTTTTTTGATGTTTATGCAGCTGCAAAAAAGGTTTGAAAGTTTAAGTCACGGCACAAATTAAAAGTTACTCAGGCAGTACGATGATTACAACTGATGTTGATCATCATGATGAGGACGATGATAATGATGGGGATGTTAATGATGGTGGTGATGAGAATCGTTTCACCTTGTTGCTTAATCTCTTAATGAGTTGCACTCGGGCATTTATTGACATTTTGTCGAGGACGCTGGGAAAATTGCGAGAGCTGAAATCTTATAAGCAAACATGCACAGCACAGGGAACACATCAAGAATGCATATAACGTAAAATGCACACTGAAGATGATGATGAGGCCGAGCCTGACGGAAAGAAGTGGGCGCACAAGCCACGCCCCCGACCCCACACTTCCACAAACGCACACACACCAACGTGTACTACGTTTGAGAAAAAAACGGAATTAAGTTCGCTGCAAAAGTTGTCCTCTACAGAACGTCGCCCACCCCACCATATTTGCCAACCGACGTTCTCAACGTCTTTCGCGACATGAGAAGACGAATTATAAATGCACACAAACACACACACACACCCACGTACGCACACACACCCGCAAATACACATACAAATGCATGGCTGCATCAGCTGGTTCTGTGTGAGTGTTGGCTTACAGACACCTCAGACATGACAGTCATACAATTTTGCCTGCCATATTTTTTTTGCCGCGCTCTCGCCACAGCCCTGACTTTCAGCACATAGTGTGTGAAGGGGAGGTGAAGTGTTGCGGAAATGTTGCCACATGAAAATTATTAATTTCCCTGTGCAACTTAAAATTGCAACAAGCTGCAAGCGGCAAGCAGCAACCTGGCAACGTCTCCTTGACGTGCCTGCGCAGTTTTATTGAACTCTTTTTCTTGGTGGAGTCTTCAATTTGTGTGCCTGCCCCTGCCTGCTTAAGGAAAGCAGCTGTTGCTTTTCTAAGTGTACGAGTATGTTAATTTTTCTTCATTTTTTCTTTTATTTTTTGTGCCACTTCAAAGAAGCTGGGAAAGCGTTAACTTTTTAAATGGCACATTAATTTTTTGTTAGTTGTTGGTTTTTGTTCAAAGTATTATAATTTCGTTTCGAAAGGGGCGCTTGAAAACCGATTAAGCATTCACATATAAAAAGCATGCATAAAACATAAAAACACGTATAGTAAGCACTTCCGGCATAAAGGCAGCTATCACGTAATGTCTGTTAAAGCGTCTCCAGCAGCGAATCGTAAACTATTATATAAGAGATATGTTTCTTAATATCTACTTCCGAAACCAGAAACCATCCAAAAAGATATTCCATCAGTTGCAACTGCCTGAGAACTATTTTAATAAGTACTGACTACATCTGCAAGGGTATTAAATCTTCGGCTCTCCGACCTTAACTATTTCATATAGTTTTAAATTATTTGATGTCTTGTGGTTACAAGTCACATGCTAAAGTTGAGTACCTGAAGAGAAAGTTTATGAATGTATGTGGGCCTGTGTGTGCCTGTGTAAATATGTTACGTTAGGTTCTCTCATAAGCATTTAGTTTAAGTGTTTGTTTTTGAGCTAGTTCTTGTGCTCATGTGTTTTCTTTGAAATGAGTTTTCCTATCTGTCAAAGTTAATTTAAACCTGCATATATGTATATATATATTTTGGTTATAATCCCTTTTAATGATATAACGTGTGCCTATTAAAAATGTGCCAAACTCACGTTTTCTCCCATAACTATTCATCGCCCTTCGTAATTATATCATTAGCTTCTATTTACATAATTATGTTACACACTGCTTGAGGTTTTATTAGAAATCGTTTAATTTTCTACAAAATCAACTAGCTCGTTTAATTTGACACAAACTAAATGCGTTTAGAAGCCGTTTATTAGCTGCATTAGAACATAATCAACTGGCCACTGGGCGACCCTGTTCATCATTAGAACTAGTTCAATTAGCGACCGAACTTGACTGTGTTTGCTCCTCAAAGCGAGCATCAAATTTGCTGGTAATTGTGTTAACCAGCCCGCTCGCTCCGCACACAGAGCCCTTGGTCCACTTGATTTGACGGGCCATACACCACTTTAAGAGCCGCCAATCTCTCGATATGCTCGTGCGCCCGCCATACCACAAGACGGCGCTGCCATTTGCGGTCAGACATTTTGGTACCGGGGCATGTGCAAATTCGTGACCAAAGCAGGATGTGGGCATCGATTGGCGGGTTGGTGAGGGGACCACTGAGTGCTGAGTGCTGGTAGGGATGGTGTATTTTATGCGACGCATTGATAACCACCGGCAAAGGGACAACGCTTGGAAACGTGTGCTGGTTTTGTGTTGATTTTACGACACCCGCAAGTGCCGCAGGCCATTAAGTACCCAAGTGCTACGCATCGTAGGGATCCAAGCTAGCTCCACTGGGAGCGAGTGTGAAAGGGACAGCCAGAGAAGCAAAGCCAACATTTGTGGGCTTTATTAAAAATTAATTTACTTTTCATTTGCAGTTTATTGCACTTGGCAGTGACAAAAAATACGTTGCAGCAGCTGCCACTCACAGCCCGGCCCCGACATCGTCACAGGACACGTGTCCTCTGACTTTGTGTGTCCTTGCGTAGGTGTTTGAATAATAAGAGCACCCGTCTCGGTTGCTGTCTTTTAGCCACACTTACACGTATTAAAAAGCCATTTGTGTTGGCCATATTTGATGGCTTTTAGCATCGGCCGTGTGCCGCGCGTGTGGAGAGCCGTAACAAGCGGCAGGTGTGGGCGACAGCTGTTCAAGCTGCGGCCGCCTTTTATTTTTTATGTATTTTATATTACTCATACGCCGCGTAGGCCGTTGATATAAAAATTCAATTTGAAATTTAAATTGAAAAGCTTTGGCAAATTAATGAAACAGCTACTGCAAATTACGGCAGCATAATCATAAGCTTTCGAATTCCCGAAAATAGCTGCGATTAGTTGTATTGCGATAAGTTGTATTGACCAATCAATAGAATTTAGTGTGTAAGTGCATTTTGTATGCTGCAAATTTCTCGCACAATTCACCATTTTCAGCAGGTTCAGTTTGCGTCAAAACATGTGCACATTAATATAGTTCGCAAGCTCTTTAATGCCTCTTCTACTATAAGGGAGTGCCGCTTTCTAACGGTAAGTGGCAGTTCTCACACTTTATAAAACTGAAAAGTTAACTCTTAAGCCTTTTAATGTTACTTTAGGAGCAGCGAAGCTAAGGCTTGCCGAAGCAGTTCCCTGCCTCCAAAAAGTGGACAAGTTTTATGAGCACTCGATGTCATTGCCATCGTTGGCCAGCAATTGCCGCTCGTGGCTGTGGGGCTCGACGCCCTGCCGCTTTGGGCTGGCGTCGCGTCGTCTACAACAAATGGTGCAACACCCACGGCTGTCATTTCATAATTTTCGGCCAAAAATCGAAAGACAAACGGCCCCAAAAATGTTGGCCCGCAGTCGAAGATTCGCTACTTGCTTGTCGCTTGTTATGCCAAAAAATTTGCCTAAAACTTTGGCGTGTCCCACCTCTCAGCAGCAGACAATGGCGAAAAAAGTTAATTTGGCAGCGAAAATGCAAACAAGCAGACGACAAAACGACTGGCGGACACTTTAAATAGGCATGTGGAACGGACAGAAACTCGGGCCGCAAAACTGCTGGCAAAACTGTGAACCAAAACAGCGCAAAACACAACAAATACTGCGTCATACTTTTAGGCGCGGCCGCCTTTTCTGGCAAGCACAACATTTGTTTGTTTCGCTGCCTACCAAATATATAAATATCTGTATGTGTGTGTGTGTGTGTGTGTGGGCAACAACTTTACGGCTTCACTTGATTGTCGAGTTGTGCAAATTAAATTTATGTGAAACTACTTTACTCACGCCTCTAATTGAAATGCCCAAAGCTGGGCAGTTGTACGTGACCCGTGCGCAATGTTGTTCAATAATAAACTGCCGATGGATGTGTTTTTTAGCCTGAAATAATTGTAAATATTTGTATAATTTAAATGTTAATAATACTGTTTTTGTTTGTATTATTTAAATATATTAACTCAATTCTTTAAATTGGCCGTTTATTAAATCTCTATCTATCTATATGTCGCTTATTTCGCAATAGCCTTAAGTCCAAAAATACACATAATCTGCCGACTAAAACCATTTTAAATTTAATAATAATATTATATTTTAATGACTGCTGTCAGATATTGCCTAAAGAGAGGAAAAGTATTTGCTGCTCTTTAGGTATTTGACAATCTGATAACAGTCGCTTCTTGACAAGAAAATTCAATGAATCATTTTTATTAAAATGTTTATCAAATATTTACCTGTATTAATCCAACCATTTTTCTTTTTCAGCGGCCCGGAAATGTTGGTGGCCTTTCACTCAAGCCCCTTCTCAGCACCCCTACAGCAGGGCATACCCAATCGCGGCTTTGAACTGGATGTGGATATACTGTTCACCGATTCGGACTCGTATGATTTTGCGCAGGGAACGAAGAATCTTTGTGAATTTCATATAAATGCATCGAATCCGGGTAAGTGATTGTAAATGATAAAAAAGTCAACCAAATTATTAAGCACAAGCACACGCAAAGAAACAGACCCGAAATTAGGTCAACTGCACATATAATGCACTCCTGAGTTTCCTTTCTTCCCGATTCCCTCAGCCGGTGCCGGTGTCGATGTCGCTGCTGCTTATGCTTTAATGCAGCACTGATTCGGCTGCCATTGTTTTATTTATAATTTATTTATATTTATATTGCTTACTTAGCGATGCTGCTTGAGCGAGCGCACGCACTCCCCGAACACTCAACTGCAACTCCAGCTTCACCAATTTACTCACGGCGTACAGCTAAGTAATTGGAGCACGGCGTCTTTCAGTAATCAAAAGTTGCATCCACTTTAAAGTTGATGTAACCTGAGTAACACCTGGACAGGGTGGCTACCTTTCATTAGCTTCGGGGCGAATCTAAGCTGACTTAATGGGTTTTTAATTCGATTCGGGGCCAGACGAAATCAAATTGCGTTGATCTGGCTGCTAAAGGGGACTGAAAAACTGGAAGCAGCAATTGGTGGATTTTAAGTTCTTTGAGTCTTAAAAGAGCTCATCATATAAACTCATTTGAATCTCGTGCATAAATTTGCGATATATCTGATTCGAATTCCCTTCCTTTTTATATATTTCACATATTTTATTGTCAGATATTTAGATTATGCATACGAGTATTTATGGGAAGGCATATTTCTGACTAGTTTAAGCTGCTATTGCACTGTGAACAGAGTGTAGAGTTGTCGGTTTCAGTCTTGTTACTTCTTTGCAACTAGATTTAATTTGTTGGCTGTGATTTTTATATGTTGCACATTGTATTCGACTGCTGGGTAAAAATATTTAAATAAAAAATAATTATTTAAATGTATAAAAAAAAAATCCATAAAAATAACTAAATTTAAACGGAAGCTGAACAGCAGTACGAACGGAGTTGCCAAGTGTGCTGCGCCATAGATATGCCCTTAATACACTTACTTAATTGCGGTTTATTGTAAGCCCCCGTCTGTAAGCCGTATTCTTAAATTGCTTTTTATTTTTGCTGCTGGTCAGCGGGCAGCTGCATTTAATTGAAAAATTATTAAATGAAATTTCGGCGCAACTGCCCGAAACGCAGTCTGGCAACTTGTGCAGCGCAAAATTGGGCATGGTTATTCGAGCCCTGTGCAAAATGGAGCCAGTTTGTGTATATGTATATATGTGTGTGTATATGTGTGTGTGTATGTATGTGTGCAGTGTGGCAGACGCTAATGTTCATTAATTTGCACTTAATAATTTTTGAGTAGGTTTATTTCCTGGCCAACGCTCGGTTGCGTTTGTTTTTTTTTCTATTTCTCAATCCTGCTTTATTTGCAAATTTGCCTTCATCTAAAATTAGTTTTCGCTCTGCGCAGGCGATTTTGGCAGCTGTAGGCAACATAAATGAGACTAAACCCACCCGCCCATTTAAGTTGTGCCTCTGTTCGTTGAAGCTGCTTTTATCGTGCCTCGTGTTGTTGCTGTGCTCATTAACTTGCCAGCTTATTATGTTTGCTGTTCCTCGGCCCGTTCTGGCTGGTTTGTTGTTTTTGCTTCATTTTTGACCGTTTAACTTCTGTGCAATGCCCTCCTGGCATCGGTATTGATTGCGGCAACATCTCCATTTGCGTCTTAACTCTCGTCTTAATGCGCTGGGAATTTGCGCAGCTGTGTCTGGCTAGAGGATAAACATTTGACAGGGGCGTGAAATTGCCATATCTATCATAGTTTAAATCAGTCTGCGACAAAGGTTATGGAAGAAGACATTAAAGAGCACAATATCAACATTTATCAGAGCAGCTATTAACAAAGCTAATAAATAAATATAGAAATTTGCAAAAGACCAATAAAAATATCAAAATAGAACACTCCTCTAGATTAGCTGAAAGATTTATGCACCAAGCCAAAAACTTTGCACATAATAATTTGTGAAGCGGCAAACAAAACTTTTGCAAGATTTTAAAATCAGTTAAGGAAATTAAATGGCTGTCGGGGGAATCTATTTTCATTAGATGGAAACAAATTAAAACATATTCGAATTAGCCAGAGGCAAGACATTAAGTTGTTTTGCAATACCCTAAAGTTCTTTTAATCTCATCGATGTAGGCGTGATTGTTAGCAATATTTTACTATTTTAATTATTGTTGGTTTTATACATTTTCATACAATACCAATCATAAATAAACATTTATATATATACTCACAAATTATTTTTTTTACCATATTTCGAGTTAATTTGCTGGTATATAATATTTCTAACAGGGCTGCAAGCTCTACAATTTAATTTATATTTGTGAACAATGTTTGACTAGGCATCTTTTTATGAAAAAATTAAATTTTTCATTTGCAATTGCCCAATGTACTACTGAAAATATTGCAGCCTCAAATATTTTCATATACAAAATGCGGGCTAAATTTGATCTGTACCCAAAAGCTTGCATCTACCAAATATGGTTGAAGTGGTGCAACAATTGGGTCCTAATACTATTATTATTATAATGTATACTATTTTGCAGGTTCTGCTTAAAACTATTATTGAAAATAATATGCTTTGCCTCAGCTGTTTGTCTTTTTATACCCTGAACCCATTAAAAATGGGTATAAGGGTATATTGTATTTGTGCAAAATCCAAATGTATGTAACAGGCAGAAGGAAGCTTCTCCGACCCCATAAAGTATATATTTCTTGATCAGCACCAATACCCGCGTCGATCTAGCCATATCCGTCTGTCTGTCTGTCCGTCTGTCCGTCCGTCCGTCTGTCCGTATGTATGAACGCAAGGATCTCAGAACCTATAAGAGCTAGAGACTTGAGAGATGTAGGTGCTCCCAGGGCCTGCGCAGATCGAGTTTGTTTCCGATAATCGATAACTTACTCCGTTTCCAAGCAATCGATAAAAATCGATTTCGATATCCTGTTTTTTAGGCAATTTTGGTAAATAATAACACCAAACTTGACATGGCTTCTAAAATATAATATATATATGCATTTGATGTTGGAAGAAGAGGGTTCAGGGTATCCCCTAGTCGGGAGCTCCCGACTAGAACCACTTACTTATTTTAAACTAAATTGTATTTAACTCTTTGTCAACAAATGTTAAAAATGTGAAAGATCAGCTTTTGCTGACACCACAAGCTGACCACTTCGTTTCGTATAATTCAATAAAATTAGGTTTACTTTAAACATGGTCGGTCGCTTGTAACGAAATACATGCATTTCAAATTTAATAAAAAGGACACACACACGCACAGCTGACACACACACAACACACACTGAGGGGAAGAGAGAGAGAGAGAGAGACAGACAGAGAACTTCTGTTTGTCAGCTTCAATGCGTTCTAGTTTCGGCTCAGAGCCGCTGAAGTTCTACATTTAATTAAGCTTAATTGATAAAGTTATGGTAAAATCAAACCAAATTAAATATGCAACAGATTTTGTTACGTAATCAATGGAATGAATACAAATGCAGTCGACAACGAACTGTAGCCCATTGGAAATTGCAGTTTTGTTAATCATACGCCGTGTATTACATTCTGTGTTTATATCCGAGGGTTTATCACGCATTATTTACATGCCACACACCCGCACACTCACACATACGCACACATTGAGATCATTATTATAACTTTCAAATGACCTTTGCTGTTTATAATAAATTGTTTTGCTCGCTTTTAGCATACTACATATTTAAATGCAATGCATATTGAATTTGTTGGCTCCTTAATGATGATGTTTGTTGTTGCTGCCGCTACTGTTGTTGTTGTAGTTGTTGTTGTTGTGCTGAGGGGGCAGCGTTGTACAAACAAAACCGCGTTGCGCACAATTGAAAGCAAAATGAAACGATAAATATTTGGTTTTCGTTAAAACTTTAATTAAAATCATGTTGTAGCCCGCAATAATTTATTTTTAGCGAACGCTTACGTTATTTGTGACTGTATGTGTGTGTGTGGGTAAAGGGTGTGCTAGGGTGTTTGGTGTGTGCGTGTTGTGTGTGTGTGCGCTGTGTGTGTTTGTGTGTCGATAACAAAACAATTATGCTGCTTTGCTTTTTGTTTGTATTTTGCCTTGGCCCCGCTTGGTTCCGCCCTTTGGTCATTATAAATGTTTCATGCGCGAGCACCACATTTTCCTAATTGAACTTGCCGCGGAATGTTGGCCAAAGTGCTGCCACTTGCGTTGTGTTATTTTTTTTTTCGTGTTGCCTTCTGCTACAGTTTGCTTTAAAAGTATGGGTGTTATTGCACCTGCTGCTGCTTTTGCTACTGCTGGTGTGTGCTCAGCATTCCAATTTGACGCCTGTGGGCGCATTCACATGGTATTCAAATTGTTTCGATTAGCTCATTAGCCATTTATTAAGTGATTTAAAACAAAATTTGAAATTCAATTATGATGTTAAATATGCACACATATGCATATATGTGCTGCTTTGTATGTAGCAAATGGAGAAACAGACAGATAGCCCGAATCTATTAACAAATTAATATAGACAATCTAAGATATATTAAACAAGCTAAATTAATTGTGATTAACTCTAATGAAATTACAAGAAAGTTTTGGAATAAAACCATAGAAATATATAGATGTAGATAGAAAGGGCTCAGTTTCCATATGAAGGACGTATGCTAATTGAGATGGAAGTTAAAATTCATGCAAGCAGATTTTTAATCATAACTTTTATTAAATCGATTTTTTGCGATTTTTATGCGAGTAGTTTCTCATGTTATTAGTAAACTTTCCTGGCATATAAACGAATTATGTCTTGCGTAGATACTCGGCCCGCATTTGGGTCATACGCTTGATAAATTTAACTTAACACTTAAGACGGCAAGCAACGCCCTCAATCAAGTTCGCTGTCAATGCCCGCACCGAAATGTTGTTTTAATTGCCACACCCCGTCCTCCTTCCAAGCAAACGAACCCATCTAATTAACGCTAATCAACTTGCTGACACTCGAATTGCCGCCACACAGGAC